GTCACATATTTATGAGTCTGGTTTTGCTATAGTGTGACAAAGAAAGCGTCACATAAATGAGAAATACTGTTTTTCTGCCACAGCCTCTTGGCCCCCCTGACATGGAAGCAGCTTTGTACAATGAGCAAGGAACCTGCTACATAACATGCCATGTGCAGAAGCAGCCCTGAGTGATACACTTGTTATGAGGTACTATTACAAATATGTATAAAATACTGCTGTTTACTAGTAACTGTGTTTATTAATTTACTTTAGAAAATTTCATGCATTGATATGTGGTGATGTTACTTGTTTTTCCAGACTGCTATGCAAAGACAGGATGACTACCCTCGAATGACCCCTCTGCAAGCACGTTGGAACATATGAATGTCCATTACAACATGTCATCTCGAACTTCACACATGTAATGCTGTATTGTGATTGTATTACCGTGCATATCGGGAGGAGGGGGTGCTTTAGATTGGCCGCAAGCATTGGCTGTCTACCGTGGCTTAGAATATACACTTCAATAATGTTGAAACTGTAACACTATTAGTTAGATTGTGTGGCACTGCTTAGCTCAACAACACAGGCTCGGCCCTAGCCACAGTGGTCCTATTCCGATGGGAGTGAAATGCTAAGACGCTTGTCTGCTGAAGGGTTTGTTCTGTTCGCCTGCGCCACATGATCCGTTTTAAAAAGTGATGCACCTCGCCATTCATTTCAGTGGAGCAACAATGGCATCTTCTAAACCACGCCATTCATTTCAAAAAGCCCAGGAGAGGTACAGCACTAAAACTAGTTCATGATTTTTCTGTACCTCCTACTCTTACGGCGCTGGTTTGATGCAGCCGCACGCACAACTTAACAAACAACCTAGCATTAGGACGTAAGTACTGTACCCATCTCTACAAATTCGGCACGTTTTGCCAAGATGTTTCACCGCAATAAATAAGTGAACAAAAATAAGGATTACACCTTGTCGGCACCTTGCCATTCACATATAATGCCACACTGCTGAACTCTGGCTGCTCAAGTTATCAACTTCTCGTGCGCTGCTGTGAACCAGTTCTGATTGATGCAGGTGGACTAAATTGACCCTGAAAAGATTGAAGCTTAAAACTACGAAAAATTAGTTAACATAAGGTGTCAGAGCAAACGTTTTGACAAGCAGTATTGTCTCCTGTGAGGCTACAATGTCATTTTTTTGAACCCATGGAAGCCAGAATTAGTCCATATTCGCCCACTACTGTACGACTCACGATCACTTCGTAGTTGGCATGTGAATCCTCATAAATTAGTTAATTGCAAAATGAACACCCCCGCAGTGAGGGGCATTACCAGGCTTTCCTACAATTAGTTGGGCCTTGTGACAGTATACGAACAACACCCAGAACTGTTTTGTCCTATTAACAGTGTTTAGCTCATACAAGTTTACAAAAAGTTGCGCCCAAGCTCGTACATAAGGCTGCACTCAATTGCTTTAGCTTTGCACATATGTTCAATGGGCTCTTAAAATAAAAAATTATAAAGGTGATGAGCACTTGCAGTACAGCTTCCTCAAAGACGTGAATGCTGTCGTGAAGAGCAAGATTGTGTTCATTGCATGTGGTACTATTTGTTTTTTCTTAGCAGAGAAACGTCCCAGATTATTAGAAGGTTAAATAGAAGCACATCTGCTTCTATTTAAATAAGTTGTCATTACTATAGTGTCTACCGCTACGAAGTAAAATTTTGTGCACAAAGGGCATAAAAAAAAATCTAGGAAATCGCAGAGGTAGTTGAAACATACATGATCCCAACTTATCCACAGCCACACTGCAAGATATTACGTATTTCAAGTTTTAACCTCTAAAAGTAGCAGGGAGAAAACAACTTCAGCTTTCAAGCAGATGTATACTAAAAAAGTCAACAGAATAACAAGTGCCTAATAAATGTGACCTTTATTGTTCCAGTATTCAGACAGACTCACATCATGTACCACCAAATAATTTCAGAAGTTCTTGCTTGCAAGAGAGTGCTCAAGTTCTGTCGATATGTCTATGCAAAAAAGGGATTGTGCTCAGAGCTGAGCAGATAGTGTACTGTAAGAGCACCAACAAGGATGTACAAACAACGAAATTGTACAATGCATGCCTAAAGCTTATTTTCTTAGAATTGGGCCTTTTTGATCTGTAAACACACACTTCATAAGTGCTTCTTTAGCATACACGTTCGCTGTATACTCAGCAGACCGGTCATTACCTGCGACGAGAAATTCTAGCTGTAGGAACTATGTAACTTAACTTTACCAATAAATGTAGCAAGCCTGAAATATTTTTAAGCCCTTCACCCATATACATATTACCTATGATATGTGCTCACGGCAAAACTAGTGCCTACCCTGTCGACGCGACATTGCACAATTGTGAGGTACTCAATGTAGCATTGCAGAGCGAAAAGAATTCAGAACTGTACGCATCCGCAATTGCTTATTTAGAACATTTAGCAACCCCACATTGCTCTCACTGCGTGAGCTATCTATTGGCAATGTGCAAGTTTTCTTCGCGATTCCACATCATACATTCTTTCCACTTCAATATCAACCCTACAGGGCAAGCGCCGCATTTGACGGCAGAATCGGACCCTTGTCCTGAAGCCCCACTATTAAACTAGAACGCCGCAACATATTGAGAGCGACGTTCATCAAGCGATCTCGATGTTCAGGTGTATGCATATGCTTGTTAGCTTTCAAGAGTCTTTACACATGGGTTGAAAGCTTTCGATATGTAAGAATTACTTGATCTGTTTGGTCCCGACCATATACATTGATTGTGTCGGCTTGGACGCTCGCAATTATCAATGAAACATTTACTTGATTGACGTTTTTTTGCCAGTCGAGGCAAGCTAGGTCACCTGCGGATAATTACAGACGCGAACCACGATTTAACAACCGAAAAAAAAACAGAGGAAGCGAGCAGCGAGAACCAGCCGTGCTCCCTCCCCCCCCACCTTCAGCCACAAAAAAGCGTGTGTTTATTGATGATGATAATACTACCAGCGCCATCTCGCCTCGCGGTATTGCAGTTCAGTACGCCGCCGCTACGAATTTGCATGTTATTGTGATACAACAGCCCAAAGGTACAGTTTCCGTTGTCTAAACTGGTAGGTGTTCTGTGTGCGAATGCGTTTCTTAGTCGAGCTATCTCAGGTGTCCGGCAGTAGCGTCCGCAGCGGCGGCCGTGCACCGGCAGGTGTTATCGCTTTATTCTCACTCCCTCTCCAATAGCGAAAGCTGCGGGCGCGCGCGCTTATCCTCGACCCTAGTAAGTGGAGCATGTGGTGCGAAAGAGTGTAGGAGAATGTAGATGCCGTGGTTCACCGCTCTTTCTCCCACCATTTGCTTTCTCTTCTCCCTGCGCCCCACTCTCCAGTTCTCTCGCACCTCACTCTGAACTGTTCCCTGGCTGGGCGCCTCTCAAGACCATCCTAAGTGTGTGCTCGAGATGCCGCTGTGAAACACCAACGTAGAGCAGAGAACGCTGGCGCCCCACACTCCCATCTTCTCACTCCCCACTCTCGACCGTTTGCTGGCTGGGCCCCTGTCAAGACGATGGCGGAAGTTGATGAAGGTACATGCCTGAAGGCAGAGGTGCCTTCTCTCAGAGCAAAAAAATGCATTTGCATTTTTGCACAATTCCCTTCAGGGAATTGGGAGTATTTTCCTATGCAGGGCGACACCATGAGGCTGTTTCAGGCTCTGACGGGCTCAGCCTGAAAATTATTCCACGCATGCTCCTCACATACCATGTCAAAGCCTGAAACTGCCTCAAAGTTTCACCCGCCGAGCGAAAACCAGCTGCCTGCATACTCTTCACAGACGTGGCCGAAGCTGCACATGCACTCATCTATCATCTTATTGGTTATACAGGCGAAAACTTTCAATCTTTCTATTAGAAGGGCCACTGAGGCAAACGCTGACCTGTGGCGCAAAAAAAGAAACAAACAAATAGCTGAAAATCAACTACACTTCATTTCACCTTGTCCCGAGAGAGATTCGCGTACACTGCGTCTTTGCGGAGACTGCCACTTCGTATGTCCCAAACTGCGCAATGTAGGCAATAAAGAAACATTATAAAAGGGGAGAACCCAGTGCAGCGCACGTCAGACTCTAATAAATTTACACCAGACTATAGCAGTACATAAAAAATATCAATCACCAGACTCACATTTCTCCGTGAAATTTGAGATATAGCCAATTATATGAGAGATCAATTATATACACCTACTGGAGAACGCCTAATGTAGTGTCTTTGCAATTGCACCACGAACTTTGTAAATACCAAAAAAGGCTGATCTCTCTGCCATATGAATAGTTAGAACGAAAAAGTTAAACTTGTCTACTTAAAGAGCTGGACTATGGGTTATAAATGACGAAGTATTATGATTGCTTTTTTTCCACGATCAGCGGTTAGGTTTTCGAGTGTCGTTTAACGCTCCTTGTATAAAGTAATAATAATTTTTGCGTATAGTGGAAGTCATGTGCGATTAGTTGAAGCGTGATTGTCCGATTTAGTGTTGTGTGTTCGCTTAGCACTATTGCCTGGCAGTTAATTTCAGGAATGTTTCATGAACCTCAATATTAACGTACTTTGTATTGGGATAAAACACTTACTCTACTTGGACCAGGAATGGCGCTTGAAGGTGGTGGAGACTGTAAGGAGTACAACATGAGAGTTTTGAATCAGTAACGCCTGTATGAAGAAAAGCAAGAATGTATATATCATTTGCAATGCAGTCTTAGGAACATTTTTGTACCTCTATGATAACGCACCTTGTATTGGGATTAAACACTTACCCTACTTGGACCAGGAATGGGGCTCGAAGGTGGTGGAGACTGAAAGGTGTACAGCACGACAGTTTAGAATTATAATCGCCTGTATGCATAAAAGCAAAGGTTGTATATATCTTTTGTAGACAACGTGAGGAGCATTTTATGACCCTCTATATTTACGCACTTTGTAATGGGATGAAACACTTGCCCTACTTACGCTGGAAATGGGGCTTGAAGGTGGTGGAGACTGAAAGGAGTACAGCACGACAGTTTAGAATTAGTAACGCCTGTATGCAGAAAGCAAGGTTGTATATAATATTTGTAAGACAATATGAGGAGCATTTTCTGACCTCTATATTAACGCACTTTGTATTGGAAAGAAACACCTACCCTACTTGGACCAGGAATGGGGCTTGAAGGTGGGGGAGACTGAAAAGTGTACAGCACGACAGTTTAGAATTAGAATCGCCTGTATGCAGAAAAGCAAGGCTGCATATATCTTTTTAAAACAACTGTGAGGAGCATTTTTTGACCCTCTATAATTACGCACTTTGTAATGGGATGAAGCACTTACCCTACTTGAACAGATATGGGGCTTGAAGGTGGTGGAGACTGAAAAGTGTACAGCACGACAGTTTAGAATTAGAATTGCCTGTATGCAAAAAAGCAAGGCTGTATATATCTTTTTGAAACAACGTGAGGAGCATTTTTGACCCTCTCTAATTACGCACTTTGTAATGGGATGAAACACTTACCCTACTTGGAACAGATATGGGACTTGAAGGTGGTGGAGACTGAAAGGAGTACAACACGGCAGTTTAAAATTAGTAATGCCTGTATGCAGAAAAGCAAGGTTGTATATATTATTTGTAAGCCAATATGAGGAGTATTTTGTGACTTTTTATATTAACGCACTTTGTATTGGGAAGAAACACTTACCCTACTTGGACCAGGAATGGGGCTTGAAGCTGGTGGAAACTGAAAGGGGTACAGCACGACAGTTTAGAATTATAACACTGGTTCACGAAAAATCAAGGCTGTATATTTCATTTTAACTACCTTAGTTCAGAGTTTCAGTGAGAATAGTCTAGTTCTACAGTCTTCAAATTGAAGCCTTAGAAACACAACAGTAGCATTTGACAGTTTGTGTCTCTCTGGCGGATTTGTACATTGTAAGTATAACTCGCTTAATTTATGACGTTTTCTGGTACAAAGAGGCAGCAGCAAGCACAGTTCTGAGATCACTGACGAAATATGGGAAAAGCCTTTGTCCTGTTGCGGGCGCAGTCAGGCTGATGCCGATAACGGTGATGAACTGGAATGTTTTTATGTAGAAGAGGCTGTCTGAGCAGCACCTTGCATTAGGTACTAACGTATGTAACATATGTCCTGCCTCAGTAAATTTTTGTGTAAGTTATTTTACCCTAATTATTTCACACATTGCATGCTGTTAAACACTTTTTTGACGGCGGTTACAAGTACTGCGTCATGAAAACACCTTTGGCTTTGTTCGCCGAATAGGTGCCTGTGCTGTAAAAATATACTTCGTCTAGTTCACACTCTGGTATGTTTTCATGATGTTGAGAAAAACATTCGGCTGCTCACTAGCTGCCCATTTTCTTAAAAGCTAGATTACGGGGAACATGGTGGAAAAACCACTTTTCATTGTACTGGACCTTTGAAGAAGTTCACATAGAGCTTCGAGGACAAGTCCAAGAACAAACACACCATGTGACGTTCCTTCACTATGTAAGCACGTGCAGAAACTTCATTGGCCCTTCTCTTTCCTGCATACCGAAGGAACTGACACAGAAACGTTGGTATTGGGTCACATTCGCGGTAAGCTCATCACAAAGTCATGAAAACTCACACGACGTAGGTGTTGTGTGAGGAATCTACCACTTTACACAATGGCTTGATTTGTTACTTTATTACTGTGTATTGAGTTGTAAAAACAGTATATTTACTTTTTACACACAAGGGAGGGGTCAATTCGATGTGCTGTTTATCCTAATTTTCCATGCTAATCACACGCTCAGTCCCCAAATTGTATCAACCCTCTCATACATTACATGAGACTCTGAACTGCTTTAAAAAAATTACGGCATATTCACGGGGTGAATGATGATGAATGGGCGAAGCTCCGGAGGGATTCATCGGTAAACTGTGAATCTTCCGTGTAATTCGCCCAGTCGATCATCATGTAAAGACGTGAGAAACGCTGTGTGTGTATATACACAAATCAACTTTTATTTGTTCTTAGACGATGGATGGCTTGCGATGTCTCTTCATTATGACGTCTTTATGGTCTGTGAAATGAAGGGAGAGCGGTTCCTGTATGGGTTGCAGTGGGCAATTTGCAGTGGGCCTCTTTTTCACGTACGGCAGGATCTTGGCGGCGGCGTCGCGCCGCTGCAGCCTCTTTTTCACGTACGGCAGGATCTTGGCGGCGGTGTCGCGCAGCTTCACGGAGCGCTTCTGCCTCGCGCGCTCGCACATCGGGATTCTGTCTGCGAGCGCGCGCTGCTGCCGCCTTGCGCGCTCTCCGCTGTGCAGCCTTATCCATCCGGCGACTCCGAGCGCGCGCCAACAGCGAACGGATTTTATTACAACGCTCCCCCTAGCGTACGTCGCCGCACTAAATCGAACAATTGCCTTCAACCAATGACATGCGCCATATGTGACATCATTCCTATTTTATAAGATCTCGCGTCTTTCATCAACTACAAGTACCGCTTTCTAGTTTATAACATCTTGCATCTTTTCATCATCAGCTACAAGTACCACCATCTAGTAAACACTACAAGAACTAAACGAGAGGTGGCTACATACAGGAGACGGTACCGCCATCTAGTGAACACTGCAAGAACTAAACTAGAGGTGGCTACATACAGGCTACAGGAGACGCACAGCCCACGCCCTAAGGAGCTTCGCCCCTAAAAAAAACTTCTCATTTTCTATTCATCGAGTAATGACGCCACATGTTTGCGCGGCCTCGACTACACGGAGGTATAACGCCTTTTCATCGCGTGTCTGAAACTCAACACATACTGACTCGACAAGGAACTCCACGTACTAGACACAAAGCGAACGTTTACGATGGAGCAAGTGGTAGGCCAATGGCCATCTAGAACAAACCGGAGAACAATGTAGTGCTGAAATTTTTTTTTGAAGACACAAATATCTGTGACCAGTGCTGCTTTTTGGATCGAGTTGAAAGTGGGAACGTGTTTGTACCATCCAAACGAGTTTTGGAGTCACCGATGAACGAACGTTTGCATTTATGTAAGACATTTTATGTGCCGATTCTCATTTCATAACAATCAAGTGGGAAGAGGCACCAGTTCCCATGGAACGAAGAACATTTCTTGTAGATTTTTTTTCTTTTTTAAAATTGACCCAGAAGAAGAAAAAAACGCGCAATGCTGTGTCATGACCTCTACCTAGGTCCATAATTTCATCTTAGTTGAGCAATCTACTCTCTCAACCAGCTTCGCTGGCTCCGTTTCATTGGAAGTTATCTACTGCACATCCAATGGTCGAGAGATAATCGTGGCCGTGGAGCTCGACCACATATACAGTTTAAGTATACCTATGTGCTTATATATGTGTGTCTATTAAACAGAGCCTTGTGGTCGAAATTTCTAGAGACCTCCACTACGCAATTTGTCCTAAGCACAACGTTTCATTATATGGTTTAGTTTAGCTCTTCTTGCTTAATGTAGTTACACGTAATTCTTAAGATACTGTGAGTCAAGCAAGTTTAGTACGAGTGTGATTGTCCCCTTTGGTGTTGTGAGTCCAGATCGTAATATTAGCGGGTACACAATATAAGGAACATTTCTCATTTTAAAAAAAATAGCGTTGTTTTTCTTGGGATGAAACACTTACCCCACGCGGACCAGGAACGGTGCTTAGTTGCGGTGAAAAATCAAACAGTATAGCATGATATCTTTGTAGTGTTCCTACTTAAAAAACGGAAAGAGTGTGATGAACAAATGTGATGAACAAATGGAAACTAACAACTGATAATCTGCGTATATTGTTTAAAACTGAAATGTTGAATTGAATGTGCTGATTGTGTTTTAAATAATGTTGGGTGATTTCTGTAATGGTTATTCAGTTTTATTCTTTCATACATTACTTTGTAATGAATATTTTTGAATGTATTTCAGAGTTGTCATTCTCTAATTTGCGGTCATGGGCCACATTTGTGTTTCTTTTGGTATTGTCGCTTTCCGCTGCCTGTAATTTTTGTATTTTTGTAAATTTATAGTTTAGATTTTTTTCTGGGTGAAGGGGCCAGTCAAGCTGTGAAATGCAGTTTTGTCCCTTCACAGCAAACCACGTATACAGTGTATTTTCGTGTGTTTGTCACGTGGTTGAATAAACTCAAACTCAAACTCAATCTCAAACAGCATTAGAGCTTGAGTACAGAACTGGCGTTCATCTTAATCTGCTTTATTTCTAACTTCATTCTTTTTTTCTTTCCTGCCCCGGCACTTGTGCTTCTTCTTCTCCTGTCCCAAGGCTTGTACCACTTCACCCTTCCCGGTTTCTTTTATTTACCCCCCCCCCTGGTGTAAAATTTGAAGACATTACAAATTGAAGCACGTTAAACTGATCCACGTCCACCAGTGCACCAGACAGTTTTCAAAATTCGGTTCTGGGTGGCTGTATTGGTCACAAAGTAAGGACCATAAAATTTGCACTTTCATCTCTTATTCGTTCATTCACTTGTACGAGTTGATGACTTGAATATCTGGCATGTCTGCTCGTTGTTTCTTGTCAAAATTCTTCATGAGTTTTTGGTATCTCTCCTCCTGGAATATTTCTTGCCTCTCCTTGACGATCTTGATGTTTTCCAAGATCCCAACTCACAGTCTGCCTGGAGAATAGGGGTTTCTTCTGAGAAGCGTACTGTGGACTGCACCCCAAGCCACTTGTATATGATCGATTATAATGTTTCACGTCGGCTTCAAAAGAACATTTCCATCAACCAGGAAAACTATCCGACATTTTGATGTACCATTTCACGTCCCGTATGGCACGTTCCGCAAGCCCATTCGCTGCGGGATGGTATGAAGCACAGAACTTGATCGATATATTGTGATCCCGAGCCTATCTTGCTAGCTTTTCGCTCTTGAACGCAGGGCCGTTATCGCATACGATTGACCGCGTAGTCCTGAATTTGTCTCATTCGAGGAGGGCTACGACGCTATTTGCATCTTCTTTTCCTGCTCGCGCCGCGACCATCTTCGTGCATTAATCTATGGCCTGAAGAAAAGCTTGCGTTTCCTTGACTACTTCCCGTTTGTTATTTAGTTCGCCGAAATCAAGGTGAACTACTTCGAAAGGCACAATCGAGTGGCAAGGTAGTATCATAGCATCTGTAGAGAGTTTATACTTGACTTTGTGTACTTGACACACATGGCAGGAATGAACGTACTGACTGACGTCTTTCTTCATGTGAGGCCATCTAATTCTCTTGACCAGATTGTTGTAGTTGCGCCGAAATCCGTCGTGTCCTCCTTATTCTGGGCAATCGTGGTACAAAAAAAGACTTTGGAAACAAGTGTTGATGGGAATCGATACCGAATGTTTCAGAAGGACCAGAGAGACCGCAGAACCGATACGTCTTCGGTTTATTGTTGACAGAACAAGAAAAAAAAATATGCAGAGCGTGCCCCTGGCTACTTCTTCTTCCTCGCCTCCGAGCTCCATTTTCAATCTGTTTTCTACATCTTCCCGCCGGCCAGATTCAACCGAAGCAACCTTCGAGCGAATACAACAGTTGAATTGGCTTCTTCACTAATTTGCTTTCAGGTGTACGAAGCAAGCATGTTCTCACTAGTCCATCCTTGCCTAGGAAAATCGTTTTAACCTTGCAGAGTTTCCACTGTGTTCTTTTTCGTGCTTCTTCAAGCAGAAGTACATCTCCTTCTTGGATATTTGTGTGACCCTCTATTTTTCTGCTG